ATTGGACACTAAATTACCCGAGAAAAATCAATGACAACATTCCAACTTTTTTTTGTAACGTGGCATAATTCCAACATTTTTTTTACAAAAAGGAGTTGCAAGCTTAATTGTTAAAATTGGCTCGATCGTTTTTGAATAATCAGTAGTTCTTAAAGTTTAAATCCACCAATGGGTCACTACGCCTTAAGTATTCTGAAAGTACCAGGAGAGAATATTACGTGGTGGATTGCGTATTTTTCTAGTCAAAATCCCGGACAAACCCGCTTTTAAGAGTCCGAAGACTCTAAAAGATTTCTAACGCGCCGGAACGGCGAGAAAATGATGGATGTGATGTACTACGGCAGTCAAATCGATAACCTCGCTCATTTTGTACTGATGTTTGTTAAAATATCACGCATTTCAATGTGGAATTGTTGCTTAATTACTACAAATAACATGAATGAGATTCGATTCTTTGATCCTGAGGATAGAGTTTTGCATGTTGATATTGTTTTCATATACAAAGAGTAAAACGACATTTGACGGATTCGGCGCGAAACCGGAACATTCTAATGTTGCGGAAAAGTTGAGCTTTATCAACTGCGTATTTCTCCGTTTCTTGGTTACTTTTTCGCGTTTTTAATGTGCGCACCGTGTTCTACGCGTTATTCACCATTGGAAAAATCTATTCGCAAGTCAAAATTCGTTCATGGTTTAGTGACCCATTACACTGTAAAAAAAAAAAAAAAAAAAAAAAAAAAANAAAAAAAAAAAAAAAAAAAAACTCCAGCCGTACAAGCCGTACTTACAGGCTTATAGTCATACTATCCGCGATTTGGGCTCAGATTCTGAAAGTTCCAGGTGTAGTGTAGCACCCGGAGCAGTCAAAGCTACAGTTTCAGTATCCGGAACTTTCAGACTCTGAGTCCAGAACGGACGATACGTCTATACAGCCCGTAACTTTTTTGGCAGTGTATGAGTTTCAAGAGTGAGGTTATTCATCGACTTTTAATGGCAGCAAAAAAGATCAAAATCACAGAGGAGCAATAATGGTCCTAGGTTTCGAGACGAATAGGGTCACTGAGACTTTGATTATTTTGGTTTGTAGAGAGAAGTATGTGCTTAAAACTGCGCTCGCAACCGAGAGAAACACAGAGTTCATCGTTTCTGTGGTTGCTCACGAGTTCTCTCATCAGTGGTTCGGTGACATGCTGACCCCTTACTGGTGGGACTTCACTTGGCTCAACGAAGCCTTTGCAACTTTTTTTGAGTACCGCACACCGGACATGGTAAGTCCCGACTCCTCAAAACCGACGCTGAATGAAGTTCCTTCCATATCGGAAGCAATAACTTATTCGATTTGAAATATAAGTTAGCTTTAGGCTTCAGCTATAGTTGCGTTACAGCTTTATTCCGTGCTTTCTACTACCAAGCAGTGTCAACGATGTTTCCCCTTAGCAAAATATTTTACAAAATTCACTACATTTTACAATATTTTTACTTGAGGAATACACCCAAAATTGTAGTTCATTTTATTTAACCGAAAACGGTTTATTTGCTGGATTTCATTGAGTGCAAGATAATAACGGGAATCAGACTGGTACTCATACTTGTATTGATTTTTGTAATTTACAGGGTAGTTAAACGGCTCAAATTGTCCTACCTTATTGATGCTTTTTTAGCCTTGTTTGAGCATTATTTTGGTTTATTCTCTGTAATTGGTACATACTCATACTCCAATTTTGAGAAATGCCATGCTACTGCGCTCAATAAACAGGCTAAAAATGCGACGCGAGAGGCAGAAATGATCGCTGAATATTGATCGACGTAAAATTAAAAATAATTTGACAAAAAATAATTTTAAATTTGAATTTTTGTGAGTATTCCGTAGGTAAATGTTTCAACTCAGCTTTAGAACAAAAAAAAAATTAATTCCTTTTTCGGTAGCAAAATTTTTGGGAATTTCTGTTGAAAGGTCAAAAATATACGTATTTAATGAAAAATATACATTTTCAACTAAGGCTTAAATGGACAAACGGCCGTTATGTATAAAAATTAGATTTCGATTATATTACTCGTAGCTTATTTTAAAGGTATGCTCATGAGAAACGTGCTTCCACGAAAAAATATAGGATTCCTCTCTTATATAATTTCTCCTACTAATTTCTTTCGCTAAACACGTTATTTTCAAAATGCATTAAAATAAAAATTAAAAAAAATTGCTTCAATAATTTTTACTTCAGGTAAGATCTCTAAAGCTTTTGACCTGCGTCCTAAATGTAGCTTCCCTATACTTTTTTATACTTAATCGACTTAACCACAACTTTAGCTTTAATCTATTACTTAGAAAATATAGACGTGATAGGTACAGGGAGGCCTGTCGGAATGCTGACGCTTGCGTAAACATTTTCAAGATCTTCCACGAAAACTTGATATTCCTTTGCTTTTGACATTTGCGTGTTCATGGCAAAGAGGCCATGAACATCAAGTACCTCTCCGAACTCCAGAGACATTCCTTACAAATTTTTTTCGAATCAATTCCTCATAAACGAGTTTTACTTTAGTATAACTGCTGCGCAATGAACAATTTCTCATAGGAAACCATTTTTTTTATGCATACGCGACTCTACGCACAGTATCGTATAGAGCGCTAAAATTTCGTTATACGGTTAAAATTATGAACTTCACGACAAAATTGTTGCTGTTCCGGAGATTGAAAAGGTGACGATGTCACGTCGCTGGCTGTGACTATAGTAAACTTACAATACCTAGTCTGTTATTCGGTCAAATATTGGGCTTCGCGTCCAAGACGCTCTCATTGGATGATGATCATTTAGCAACATTAAGGAGGAAAAACACAACTTTTTTTTCTCTAGGTATATTGTGAAACAAAACACTCCTCATCGGAAAAAGTAAGCTGGAGGAACAAGAATCTCTCCAAATCCGTGTAAAGGAGACTTTTGCGAGGTTAATAATTGTAAAAGATCATCTTAGAGGGGCAAACGTGCTTTGAAATGTTGAGATCAAGTCACTGAGAATTTTAGTATTTTGGTCTGTAGAGACAGAATCGAGCATGAAACCCCACTACAAGCAAAACACAAATCAAAGACATTGATTTCCCCCAAACCCTCGTGACGGGAACCTTTTTGGGGTTCATTTTTGACCCGGAATGCTAAGGAAGATGGAGAAAAATCCTAAAAGGGCAAAAATTATTTTAAATTTTGGAATTGAGTCACTGAGAAATTGATTATTTTGATTTGTAGAGAGAGGCTCTTGCATAAAACCCTACTCACAAGCGAAATACAGATCGGAGACATTGATATCCCCCAAACCCATGTGAGAGAAACTTATATGGGATTAATTTTTGACCCGGCATGTTAAGAAAGGTGGAGGAAAATCCTAGAAGAGGAAAAATTATTTTAAATTTTTGAATCGAGTCACTGAGTATTTGATTATTTTGATTTTTAGAGAGAGGCTCGTGCATAAAACCCTACTCACAAGCGAAATACAGATCGGAGACATTGATATCCCCCAAATCCTCGGGAGGGGAACTTTTATGGGGTTAATTTTTGACCCAGTATGTTGAGAAAGATAGAGTTGGAAAGATGTAAAAATCCTAGAGGAGCAAAAATTATTTTAAATTTTTGAATCGAGTCACTGAGTATTTGATTATTTTGATTTGTAGAGAGAGACTCGTGCATAAAACCCCACTCGCAACCGAAGTCCATATCGGAGTTATTGTTTCTTTGGTTGCCCACGAATTTTCGCATCAATGGTTCGGTGACATGCTGACTCCTTACTGGTGGGACTTTCTTTGGCTCAACGAAGCTTTTGCAACTTTTTTTCAGTACCGCACACCCGATATGGTAAGTCCCGCCTTCTGAAAACCGCGCCTCAAAATCATCCACATCAAAGGGAGACGAACAAATAGATTGAAGTCAAAACTAGTTTCATAAAAAGTTAGATCAGGTTTTCTGTTACATAAAATTTTCAACCGTGCAGGAGGGTTCCCAATAAAAAGACAATATTGTGGGAGGCTTGTTGTTGAATTTCTATGATAATGCATATGATTTCGGTACATTTGCTGGCGTAAGTAATTTTATGCTATACATCTAATCTCTTCAGGATGTATTTTAACTGGCAGCTAAACTACACTTGTGCAAATTAATTTTCAACGACTAAAATTGGCGAACTAACCATTAAAATGCTTTGCTTTTTCACTATTAATACATCTCATACTATTTTAGCGTATTTTTAATACATTTTGGGTTGTGTACTGGTGATGGATTTTGCATTCTCTTGTTCAAGCAACCTTTTTTAAGGACTATTCAGTGCAGGAAATGTATTTTCAAATTTTTCCTCCAATTACAAAAAAAAAAAATGGGTTCGAAAACTGAAACATCATATTCCATACCAAAAAGACAAGTCAAGTGGTTTTTGGGCACGGTTCATTGGATCACCCCCCCCCCTTTAAAAATCCATAAAAGTACACTTCTACAGATTATTTTTATCGGTCTGCAAGAATTTAAAATTTGACGGATTTTCGGTCCCTGTGGGAGATGTTCAATCTTAAAAAAACCTGTTATTCTGAAAATATTTTAAAATGCCAAAATAGATGTAACAGAATATAATGAGCAACAACCACTCTCTTGAAATTACATCCAGAAATTAGAGAAAGTAATGAATATTACCTAAGACGCGAAAACTGAATATTACAATTAAATGATATTTGAAATCAATCATTATTAAAGTGAGTGACAGGCATCTGGATTAGGTTACCAGCTAGGGAAGGAAATAATCATAAATTTTTGATAATAAAAATGAGCCAAGAAAGAAATAAAAACGAAAAAACAAATGATGTCACTGATTCACTTATTTTTTTCCGTCATAAACTCTCTCCTGATACTTCGGAAACAGTTTTCTTCGCTGTGTGATCAGTATCTTTTTTTCCTATTTTTTTCCATCATAAAAAAAATGAATTAAACTCAAGCATCATTCTGTGGTTATTTTTTACAACAAAGGTTGAAAGTAACTGGCGAATGGGAGACATTTTTGTAGTCGAACAAGTTCATACTGCTCTGATGGCCGACTTCCATACACACCCGATCACAGCTTCGGTTCAATCGCCGGAGGAAATTAGTGAAATTTTCGACAGCATAACTTACAATAAGGGTAAGTTGTTTAAATGAATCAATCCCCGTCCCCTCGAGAAAAAGTTGAACGTATTTATGCTTAAAGGAACTATACGGAAGTGGAAAGATGGGGTGTGCTCGTCCAAGCTGCATAAGAAACAATGTAAAAGTGGATATAGTTCCTTTTGAGAAAATGGAAAAGCGGGATTTTACATAAAATTAAAAGGAACTGAGCGCTAACTCGTGAGCCGTGGGCATGTGACAAGAGCCTTGTGGACAGGGCTCATGAGTTAAAGAGTCCCGCCACCAGGCTCCCCGTCCCGCCCGGTCCCGGTCGTTGCCGCTGACGTCACTGGCGCTCTTAAAGACCCATTCATTCTTATGGCCCTCAACTAACGAGCACAGAGCACACCCCATCTTTCCGCTTGCACATAGTTCCATTTAGCATAAATACTTCTAGTTGAGATTTTTCACAGCGTGCATCTGTGTCATCGACCAACGAAATAAATATAAACTGCCATGTTAAGGAATAATGCCTTATGAGCACTCGAGAGTTGCCGAATTTCCTCTAATAGAATGTTTATTTTTGAGGTGTGTTATGAGTATTTTCTCTTGAAATTTTCGGATAATATAGATCTGATCGCGAATAGAATTCTCGGAAATTTTTGGGGGAAAAATTCACAAATTTCCCTGAAAATTTACATTTTATTGGAAGAAATTTGGAAACTTGGCAACACCTGATGTAGTTAAGCAGATTCTGATTGATTTCGTCCAAATATGAGACGCAAATTATGTTGGATTCGGAAAATGTATGAATCAGGCAACACCGTAACCTTGATGTCGATGGCCAATGTGTAAAGCACACAGTGTATTTGTATCAATTTACTTGTTTTAAACGTTATAAGTGCCTGAAAAAATAATTAACGTAACTTAAAGTGACGTCAAATTATAAGGTGAATGGGCCACGAGACAAGGCACGAATTTAAGAATTTTGATACATGATACCTGGTCAGAATTTCACGTAGAGCACGATTCGCTCGACGAAAATTACGTAAACCAACCCCTAACGAAGATATTAAAATTTTTATTTCACATTGGTTACGAGGAATTTGAACTGCCCGCTCACAAGAAACTCAAAGCTCTACGTGAGTCAAATCGCGCACTACAACGGTTTCAGCGAGCTTCTCAATCGAGCAATGTACATTTTCCACCATGTGTTGTTCACCTATAAGCAATTTGCTACAGCTGAGCCAAAGCGTCAAGATTGAGGTTGCCAGATTTGTATATCGTAGAGACTGACATGATAACGTTTAGCGCGTGATGTGAATCACGTGGAGCATTGCGTTTTCATGAGCGGGTGATTTGAATTCACGCATCAAGAATCATTTAATATCTTCGTAACGAGTTAATTTCGGTAATTTTCATTATGTGCATCGTGTTCTACGTGAAATTTTGGTCAAGAAACATGTATCAGAATGCTGAAATTCGTACCTTATCTAGTAGTCCATTATGATACAAGAACGGGTTGTTTCCGAGGGGGAACAAGTCAATTTTTCAGATGAGCTCCAAAATGCTACAGTATTCTTACATACTACACAGCCCAAGGCTCATCTGAACACTTGACTTGTTCCCTTAAAATCAATTCTTTTGCTCTTCTGAAATATTTGTGAGTGGATTTGCTAAAATATTTATTCTAAAACTCTCCTTGATTTTGTCTCTGAGACGTTTACTTTTTTTCGCATACTGATCACCGTGTCTATTGTGTACCTTTTCAGGTGGCGCAGTTCTGAGGATGTTGGAACACTTCATAACCCCAGCAGCTTTCCAAGCTACTCTTACAACTTACCTCGACTCTACTTATACGTAAGTTCAGCTTGACATTCCTGTCCGAGTAATCTACTCGTTGCCAGTTAAAAATGATGAGAATATTGTCGTTCATTTTATAGACGGCATCAGACGGGCAGTTGGCTTGAGTGCCCTCATGATGAGAGTATGAACACTGCTGACGCGTTACTAAGGAGAGCGCTAACTTAGAATGGACCACGAATTGGACCGAGTTTAACAGAAAGAAACTAGGCCACATTAGCTATTGCTAAATTTAAGTGGGTAATTTAATTTTTTACAGGAGAAGGCTTGCGCGGACTCCTTTGAAAATCGCAAGGAATTTGCTTCAAACTATGGAGAATTTTCACTGAAATTTGCACGAAGATCCGCACAACACTGGAAAAAAAACACATTGGATCTAGAGTGCAGACCCTTGAAAACATTGACAAGAAAAAATACTCTTGATTCAATCAGATTTAAGCTTAAATCAAAAGGAAAGCCGCTCAAATTAAGAGGCTTGGTTCTTGATTCAAGCTTAAATCTGATTGAATTGACAGTAATTTTTCTTGTCGATGTTTTTAAGAGTCTGGACTCTAGATCCAATGTGTTTTTTTTCCCAGAGAACCGTTTTCATGGAAAAAAAATTAACTTGCTCGATTAAATTTGGCAATAGCTGATATGGCTTGGTTCCTTTCTGTTTAACGGGGTCCACCGGGTCCAATTTAGCTTCCGATCGAACAATTGCAGCAAGTTCCTGCGGTTTTAAGAGTGCTACATTTTGCAGTTCGGAACTGCAATTTCTGGTTTATCCATTAAAACACATATGGCTATAGGGAAACCGATGGTGCATACGTTGGTTTTTAACTGAGACAGAAATTGTAGTTTCTATTTACAAAATGCTGTCCAATTGAATAATAGCAAGCACGTTTACTTTCCTACGTAGCGTTAAAATCTCTTGGCGATAATTGTCAAATTATCGGAATTTGGACTATCAATGTCAAATCCTTCTAAATGGGTCAGTTGCGCTGGTCACCGATTTGTGTTTTGATGCTTGATTTTTGTAGATCGGTTAAAAATAATAAGAGCTTTCCTAACAGCAACTTTCTACGTTGAATATTGCCCGAGGTATCAAGCCTCGAAAAACTCGATTTTTGACGTCATCCACAGGGGTTATAAGCATAATATAGTATGTATTATCGAGTTTCTCAAGACGCGATATCTTGGTTAATATTTCAACGTAGAAAGTTGCTGTTTGGGCGGATCCTATTATCTTTAGCTAATCTACAAGAATGGAGCATCAAAACAATGACCCATTCTACTATACTAGATGTCCAATTAGCTCTCCTTCATCTAAAACTTGCCCTAATACATATGCTATTAGTTTCCCTATCGAGGGTGTAAGTCAAGTCGGCAATCACATAACTCGGTTTGCGACGTCGCAGACTTCCTGTGATACTTTATTTTTTAAACGGAAAACTACTCAACGACAATTCTTTAAAGCTTCCGTGATTTTTCTTCTCCCTGCGAGGAAAATTCTGCATAAACTTCAAGGAATGATGTCAATTTGTTCTCCTTTAAAAAAATAACATAGAGGCGGAGAATTTCAGATACCGCAAACGAGTTATGTGATTGCCGACTTACACCGTCGCTATGTGCTTTTACAGCTGAGATAAAAACATTAGTCCTGTATTGAACACTGAAGGCCAATTTTTGAACACGCCATACAGTCAATGTGTTTCTCTTTGTTTCCAGGGATGGTGGGGTGACGGACGCAGGTACCTTTTTTGACAGCGTGACTGACACGATGAACACGGTTACAAATCAAAATTGGCAAAGTAAAATAAGCGCTTTCAAAAGCTCTTGGATCGACCAATCAGGATACCCAGTTGTGACTGTGACAAGAGACTATGACAAGAAAACCGCCACTGTTACGCAGGTAAATGGTTCTGTCATGATTTTCGGTCGAAAATAGATCTCTTGCAGACTGATGGTTGAAATTGATAGACAAAGCGATAGACAGAGAAGATGAAAGGAAAATTGAGCGAAACTATTGGTAGGGACGGGTGGTTGCATTGGAAAGAGGAGGTAAGTAATACTGCCGTGCTAAGGAGGAACGCCGTATGAACATCCGAGAGTTGCCAAATTTCCTTCAGTAAAATGTTCATCTTTTAGGAAAGTTATAAATATTATTCCTCGAAATTTTCAGGAACATTAGATGAAATTGAGAGTAATATTATATGAAAAATTGGAAGACAAATATTCATAATTTGCCAGGTAATTCGTGTTTTATCAAAGGAAATTTGGCAACGCCTGGAGGTTCATGCGGCGTTTTTCCTTAGCACGGCAGAATAGACTAACTACTTAACGGCGACCCATGAGGTACCCTATAGTTGGTCCATCATTATCTCATTTAGTCAATGACAACCACCCGATTCAACCAGCCAATAAAATTACTCCATTTTCTCCTTGCCTTCTTTGTCAATCGCTTTGGCCATCATTTTCAACAATTAGCTCATTGGTTGTGTTGTTTGAAATCGAAGGTACAACTGGATGCGGTTTGAACCTCTGCACGGCAGGCTTGCGGAAAAACATCGTAAAAATGAAAAAAAAAGCAGAACATTTACACAAGAAAAAAATCGCAGAAAATTGTTTGGTTTACCGATTTCCCACGCATTCTAATACTTCACGTTTCGAAATTATTTTAAAATTGTGTAAACTTAAAGTACAAGTCGGAAAAATGAAAAAAATGTCTTGGGAATAATCATTTGAGCATGTGTTCTGTTCAAATGGTTGACGTTCCTCTGAGCTCTACTCTTTTGGCTTGCTCTGCTAACTCAATCTACTCATCCCTAAAATAAACCCTTACCTAGGGGGAAAATAAGAATATACAGGGTGTTTTTGAGCACCCATCTTTTTCCTCAGTTGTTTTAAATAGCACGGTGTCACGGACCGAAGGGTTCAATAAAGAATCTACCAAGAGGAACCTGCATTTCATGGTCCCGACCCCCCCCCCCCCCCCNCCCCAGCTCCCCTTGCGAGATACATGGGGGTCATGATACTTGAAGTCAGGATTCCTGAACAAATTGCACTTTAAATTGACGCCTAAAAATCCAAAATCGGCCCACACTACGCCTAAAATTGATCCCCTGATGAGGGAGGCAGTGGACCCTCCACAAGTTTCTCTTTGGTCGCAAAATTGACATAGGTACCTAGATTCTACAGAAAAAGCAAGTGAGGATCCTAGATAATCGACCCAAAGGAATCTGAATTTCATGCCCGGCCAAGGTGTATACATCAATATGTATGAGATTGAGGGAACATGAAATTTGGATTCCTTGGGGTCAATTCCCTATTCAATACAGCAGTTTCCAGCTTCATTCGACCTAAAACAACCCAGTAAAAAGCCTGGTGCGGGTAATCTGAAACGAAACACCCTGTATGTGCAAATGGGTTTTACCAGTGAAGATTAACATTTTGCTGCAGTGCAGTGAGAGGAAGAATAAAAATAGATTTGACTGAATAAAGGTCAAGGACGCATAAACGTTGACATTTGATGTGAATGTTTATGGCAGCCTTACTATTTGTTGTCAGATCGACTCTTCTGTTTTTCTTCCCTAACAATAAGTGCCTCGGCTGCAAGGCTTGAAAGAAATCTTTTCCCATCCCCTTATCACTTCTTGAAGGATGTGTATAGATCTGCGACACTTAAGGCAAGGAATTATCCATTTTCAAGACATGATCATTGATCATCATAGGAAAATCAAACTTTGACTGGCCGCTGACAGACACTACGCGGTGGATTAGACTCTGAATTTGACCATGATCTTCCATGAACTTACTTCTGGGCAAAAAATATTTTATCCTCAGGTGTAAAAACACTCTTTAAGGTGACTCAGAGCATAAATAAACAGGCGAGACGCTAACCTTTAAGGACATTTGGAGTAAGAAGGTAGACACCAATACGACAGGTGAGTCCCTGGTGATAAATGAGAAATAAATCGATAAACGAATCAAAGTGGAAAGTTTGAAGCTTTCTGGAGTTCGAAAGTCGCAATAATTTCGAACAGTACGGTGCTAGAGAGACTACGAGGAGGTAAAAATGAACTGTTAGTGAGAACTTACAGACACATGGAGAGCACACCTTGAGGCGTCTACTTGGAGATAGAACGAGAGCACGCCAAAATGAATATTCTATGGGAGGATGAGGTTAAGATGGGCAAATACAAACTATTTCTCAATTACACAAAAAATCAAGAACCTTGGGTAACTTTAAAACTATTCAAAGGACTTTCTCACAGCGACAACACTCACGACACGAGACGATAAGAACCACGTTTGTTTACAAGTTATCAACGTGGATGTAAAATGTAAACAAGTCGAAACATCCACTCCTATTGGTTCCCGCCAATTCTGTGCCGCGCTCGGCAAAATATACAAATTTACCCGCCAATTTTCAAATTTGCGGGGACCACTCTGGTTGAGCGCACCCCGGAAATTGGCAATACGTTGTTGTGGAAGATATGATTTGCACACGGCACGACTACCCCCATCCTCGGAGGGCATTAATTTTTATACTGTGGGCGCCAGTGGCGTGGCGTGAACTACGATATATCGATTGTTATGCCATTTAAACCTGTGGAAAAGGATCGATAAATAGGGTGTTCGCAGCGAATACCTTAATAATCGATTCTTTACCATAGGTTTAAATGGCGTAACAATCGATATATCGCAATTCACGCCACGCCACTGGTGGGCGCTTTCTAAAATTCCTGACTGTTGTTTCAGGAGCCATTCTTCCTTGAGAAACAAGAAACACCCAGCGACAAGAAATGGCTAATTCCGTTGACTTACACGACCTCTAATGAGAAGAACTTCACTCTGGAGGAGGCTAATAGGAAGATGGTACTTTTCAACCCAACTGAGAAGACGGCAAATATCGATGTCCAGTCTGCCAGATGGCTGGTCGTTAATGTCCAAGAGATCGGTAAGTACATGAAATATATCAATTTGGACATATTTCAATAAAAAGGACTTGTCTCCAGTTGGACCTGGGCCCTGAGATGCATAAGGGTACATGCATGCTAGGGCCTATGTCACAATGCAGATAGTACTTTTTTAAGTAAATATTCTGTAAATTTGAAAAAAAGAATATGTGTGCTTCATTATCTCATTATTTATTTGTTAGATTTTATTCAAAACTGTCATAGAGGACCATATTAATGGTCCCTTCATGCAGGTCATGCATACCGAGTAATTATGGGGTACGAAAAAAATTGGGTGGGGGGAGGGGTAGGGGCTACAGGGCAAAAACAAAAAATTGTGCGAATTACCAAAATTTACACTTGGAGCTGTTTTGACAAGACTGTAAATTATGATGAACTTACGTCCAAAACTTCAAGTCAGAGTGTTGCTTAGCTTTCTGATGCAAAAGGAAAAGACGAAGATAAATTAGAAGTCTAATGTAGTCTGGCTGAGTGTAGTTAAATCCATACACCTAGGACTTTGTCCACACGAGTGCGAACGAAATAAGTCCCACCAACTGGAGGTTTCAGGAACAAGTTAGAGGTAATTTATAACAAATCCCTGAAACAAGTTCGCCCCAGTATGCCCAAGCTCGTGTGGGAAAGGCCTGGTGTAGCTCTTATTTCGCAAAGTTCCCCCTCAAATTAATTTCAATATGAAAATGGCAGGTAAAGGTATAAAGGTCATAAAACTATTTTTGTTAATGATTTGACTTTTTATTTCTTTCAAAGGATTCTACAGAGTGAACTACGACGAACACAACTGGAAAGAATTGATCACCGCTCTACAGACGAATCCATCTGACATTCACGTGTTGAACAGAGCTCAGTTGATCGACGATGCCTTCAACCTGGCCAGAGCGGGTATCATTCAATATTCGGTCCCAATGACTTTGTCCAAATATCTAGCCAAAGAGTCTGATCCGGTGCCTTTCCTCGCTGCATTCCCTAACTTCCGCTACCTGCTCACACGATTCAACGGGCAGCTGGCCGATGCTTTTAAGGTAACGCACCAACCTGGATGTAATTGTACCCTAGCCTGTCAAACACGGGTCAAATTAACCTGATTTTGATGCACTGAAAAAAAAACTTCGGCCATGGAGGCCGTACTCAATGGCTATATAGACATACCGTCCGCGTACCGAGCTCCGAGGCCGGAAGTTCCGGGCGGAGCACCCGGAGCGATCGAAGCTGTTGCTCCGTAGCATACGAAACTTTCGGTCTATGAGCCTGGAACGGACGGCATGTCTATAATAGCCCGTAACTCTTTTTCAAATTCAAAATTTTATTTCAAGTTATTACGAATTTTTGTTAGATAATATTATGATATAATTTAGGATAATATCACGATTTATTGCAAATTTACACGATGAAATTATAACTCATCGCATTTTTTTTTTTCTTGATAATATTGCTGTGAATGGACCACTAGACAAGGTACGAATTTAAGCGATCTGATACACAATTCTTAACCAAAATTTTACGTAGAACACGATTCGCACAACTATAATTACTGAAACCAACTCCTAACGAAGATATTAACGTTTTTATTTCACATTGGTTACAGGGAATTTGAACTGCCCGCTCACGAGAAACTCAAAGCTCTACGTGAGTCAAATCGCGCACTACAACGGTTTCAGCAAGCTTCTCAACCGAGCAATGTTCATTTCCCACCATGTGTTGTTCAAATTATAAGCAATTTGCTGTAGCTGAGCCAAAGCGTCTAGATTGAGGTTGCCAGATTTTTATATCGCATAGAGACTGTCATGATAACGTTTAGCGCGCGATGTGAATCACGCAGAGCATTGAGTTTTCATGAGCGAGTGGTTTGAATTCACGCATCAAGAATCATTAAATATCTTAGTAAGGAGTTGATTTCGGTAATTTTTGTTGTGCGCGTCGTGTTCTACGTGAAATGTTAGTCAAGAAACATGTATCCGAATGCTGAAATTCGTACCTTGCCTAATGCTCCATTGACGTCGATAAAGTTGCTATACGTTCTTAGATCAAATCGCAACTTATCGTGTTCTCTGCCTCTTGGGAATATAAACTTTGATATGGTTTTTCAGAAACACTTTGCGAGTTTGGTGAAGAGCAAATACGAAAGCTTGGCCGCAAAATCAAACAAGGACCACGTGGAAAAGACAGGTTTAATCACAATGTCACAATGGGCTTGCTACTTAAACGTCGATTCATGCGTAAACAAAGCTAAGGAGGAAATGAGTAAATTGATCCAGAATCCTGATTACAAGTAAGTGAAATGAAAATGATTATCAAATTGAATTTTTTTTTTCTAATTCAGGGTAATATTGGGATACAGTAAAGAATGAAGATGAAGGTATCCCAAGCAGAGATGCGGGATAAAGCGGGATAGATGCGGGGAAGTATATTTTATTTTCAATGAAATTTCAACGATCAGTAGAGCCCCCCTATGCAACCCGCGACAATTTTCCAAGAATTATGTCGAGAAAATATTAAAGTTTAAATCAATATTTTTCTGTCCGCATAGAATTTTCAAAGGTAAAAAATGTAACCTTTGTAACTATGCATCGCTAAAATGAGCTTTGAACTCAAGCTAGAGATTTTGCTGAAGAATTGCCTTATGATAAAGTTTTGTTTGGAACAGATTTGAAAAAAATCCCTGCATGTCCAAAGAGCTCAGAAAAATGCCTCTTTTCTGACCGGCTCTCTCAACCATTAGGTGAACTATTTTAGAAAAATCGAATATTCAGTCTTCAGATCAATCACCAAGGGATGTTTGTGCTGCAAGTCGTTTTCCAAAATCTTCAAAAGTTCAGAAGTACTGTTTCCAATCAGCCATCAATATTGATAAATTGGAATCGGTTGCAAATTATCCCTTGATTTTTGTTACTCTATCTTTTTTTCTGCCCAGGATTGAACCAGAAATCAAGGAATCGGTGCTATGCACGAGTCTACGATTAGGAGGCGAAACTGAGTGGAACGCAGTTTGGAACCACTACTTGAAAACTAATGTAGCTACCGAAAAAGTTCTCACGCTTACTTCACTGCCTTGCTCCACTTACTCTAAAGCACTGGAAACGTAAGTGAAAATGTCCGGTGTTATTTCTTTTAGCTTCCTCCGATCCAGCGTATTCAGAGAGCTTCAGAAAAAATTAAACAATTTCAGCTCAAATAGAGGAGCTAACACGGAGACGAAAATATTCAGCATCATAACTTTTAATCCTCAGCAATATTCTGCCATGCTAAGGAAAAACGCCGTATGAACCTTCAGGAGTTGTCAAATTTTTGATGATTTTTGATGAATTTTTCATGATAAAACATGAATTCCCTGGTAAACTTAAAAATATTTTTCTTCCAATTTTTCACAGAATATTGTTTGTATTTTTATCTAAAGTTCCTGCAAATTTCAAGGAAAAAGATTCATAATTTTCCTCAAAAATAAACACTTCATCAAAGGACATTTGGCAAATCTTGAATGTTCATACGGCGTTCTTCCTTAGCACGGCAGTATTTAAGTGGGCTTGTTGCACACAATAGATATTTCTAATTGAATTGACTATGTGTTGGTCCAAAATTACACATAAAACACTTTGGACACGTTGAAAGAGTCTAAAATCCACTCCGTAACGCACAATCTGCGCAGCTCATATCGCGCATTTTTAAATTTCCCGCGTCCGTGGGTATTTCTTTTTTCGTTGACAGTAACACGCTTCCAGTTTTTTCAGACAAAGATGTAAGAAAACTTGACTTAATGATAGGAATAACCTCATGAAGTGTTACGAATTCTTCATACATAGACGCTTCCCAATCCAAGTCTGTGCTTATTTCTATACTTACAATGTAAATATAGATATGAATTTGAAATTTATATTTTGCATTTTCTCCCCTCTCGTGTTTGAGGAAGATGAGTAGCAGTGATTAAGGTGAATTCTCAGCTAGTGTGAAATAATAAATGCTGATTCTTTCTTTGATGGATGATCAATTGTTCTGAAATATTTATATTTTTTTTTAAATTTCTTTCATTATTATAAACTAAATTTCTACATTGATGCTCCATTTTCTTCGTTTCAGCTTGGTCAATGAAATGATAACCGGCCAGAATATACGAACGCAAGATTATGTTTACACTGTGAGGAGCATAGCCAGCCAAGAGCATCATATACTCTCCGCACTAACGATGCTCCGAACGAATTACGCCAATATAATTTCTGGGTAAGATCTCGGTGTTTTTGAACATAGCATATGTATATTGAGCATGAATTCATTATTGCAGTCAAGGTGGTATCACACAAACTACCGTAATATCGAAGAGTATTTTCTCTCGTTTGGAGGAGCAAAAATAAAATAATTTTTGGATTGATTCTGAGGATACAGCAGGATGTCTTGTAGTAAAACAACCTGCAGACTGCAAGAACCTTTGCTACGTGGGTCGAAATGAGACTTTTTTCTTCTTAAAAGTTTTTTTTTTCAAAAGTGCCCCCATTGCATCTACAGTCCTCCAAATTTTCTGGAAAATAGTTGTTTTTCCTGAATTTTATTACAAACTGTGGACAAAAGAGCATTACAAACGGATATCTTTCATAATTTTTTAGCGCTAAATTCATCCATTATCACATAAACTTAACATCAATTGAAATCTTAGGTAAGCTCAAGGGAGATTTTAGAGGTTTCAGAAAATCTTGGATCTTTCGAGATGAAGAATTTAGTTTTTTGACAATTTTTCCGAATTTTTTGAAATCTCAGCCTGAAATGACCAGTTTTCGAAATTATACCACACCCGATTCGATAATGCGCTGAACATGGAGCCTCCGATTCAAAAAAAAACATCAAATTCTTCACCCCAAAGAGATTAAAAAACCCCACACTGATGACTGATGTTAGAAAAATGACTTTAAAAACTTATTTTTTTTCAGTGTGAAGAAGGATGAACTGCTCAAAATGTTCGTCAAGCAGTTGCAGAATTCAATCTGGAACCCAACTCAGCTAGCAGAGGTGAGTACATTTTCAGAGGGTAAGATACTGAAAAATCTTCGAGAAGGCAGAGAAACGGAGCTATCATAAGCTGTGAACTCACCGTCCCGGCATCCTTGCAATGTGCAAATACAAATATTACGACTTTGGATAACCCGATTTTGCATACCCTCCCAATTGAAGGCAAATCAATCGGCTTATGCTGTAGGCGTTAGTTTTCCATCATTCATGGCGTCTTAAAAGGGTTTGCAGGGCTCATGGTAGGGAGGGCATCGAGGAAACCTAATTTGTCCTTCACAAGTTAAACGTTTTTACCTGATTTAACGCACAAAATTAAATCAAACCGTAATGACTTGATCGATGATCATCTGTCAGAAAGTAATTTACGTGGACCATTAAAATGCGTGATAGAATCAGACAAAGCTAATCTTAAGTTGGAGTACCTAAAGAATGAAATAAATATATTTCAGTTAATGAGCAAACGCTATACTGTACTCTGCATCATTTTGCGCATAGAACACACACACAAGCTCCTAACCATAAAAATTATCCTAATTGATAGATTCCGGGAGATCTTCTTAGAGAAAGAAAAACTTGTGACAGTCAATGGTGCTGCTACAAGTATTTACGTAAAAAACTTTAAAAATGTCTCGGAAATCGCCAACTAGGATTTTTTTACGTGTTCTGAATCTTCATTTCACAGGCTCATTTATTTTTTTACGAGTTTCTCACGAGCCTTTTATGCAGGTGATACTTATAACGAGCCTCTAACTTTCTTTTTCAGTTGAGAAAACTGGCCCTCGATGAGAACACAGAGCACAGCCATGCTCACATGGTAAATCATACGATAGAACACGTTACTAAGAATTTGGAATGGACTGAGAAGAACTTAGCATCACTGCAGAAGTGGTTCAAAGACGAAGAGGACAACCCAACGCCCGACAATGACTCAACAACTAAAAACCCAGATGAACCTACAAAGGCCCCTCCTTCGTCAGCAACACAACCTTTGGCCACGCTTATCGGATGCAGTTTGGCCTTTTTTGTTCTTTACCGTAGGCTCGAATCTTTTCCACTGTAAATACGCTGTACCTAAAATTTTAATTAGAACCTAAAAATTTTGTGATTAGACTTACTCTTGCGCCTAAGTTACCTTGCTGACACAGTCCAACATAATTTGCTTTCTCCAACACCAATTTTTTTTTCGTACGATGAGCAAAGCAGATAAAAGAGTATGTCCGTGTAAAGAAAAGGGTGATAAAACCTGTGCATAATAAATTGCAATAGTTGGTGATTATTTTTTCTTTCAAATAAGGAGCTTTAAAATAAAAACCAATATATGAAACACCACTGAAAAATGAACATACTGACTGCTGACTGCTGGAGTCGAAAAATACGAAACCCCATTGGATCATTCATTAATCTCTGTTTAAATTTTTATTTTTTAAACAAAAAGAAACTAATATTCCATTTCAAGAACCGCTTTTCTCCTTTGAAACTTGAACAACGTTAGGGCAGACAGCAATATTGAATTCAATGTTTGATGTTGCTGAGTGAGAATAAAAGAAACTTTGTTGTGATATGATCAGAACTTATGATACCGTCCGTTTTTTCGTAACTCAATTAAATTAGTCGCATATTTTAAGCGTAACAATTGGCAAAACAGTATTATAAGAAGTAAGGGTAAACCGTGCCATACATCATAAAATTAGGTACTTATTACACAAGTCCTGCCACCTTCCCTTAAAAAATTGACCAGATACGATTATGAAATTTACTTACTTCCTTACATACTTACCTAATCATTCAGCAGAAAAACAACTATGTAAATTACTCTTCCTTTGGTGGAAATAAAATACTAATAGTCTGCTTCAGAAGCACTGTATTTAAACTAAAATATTGTCGTTTGTAATATATACAAAGATCCTGTAATATTGATTTTCCTAGACATATTTTTTTACTTGTTAATTAATTAATAAATAAATGTTCTCCTTTCCAAGAGTGCTTGTTTTTTATCCCCATTCCCTCTTGTATTACTCTTTTAAGCGCAAATTTTGCCCCTGTGCTTTACTTGGTAGATAACCTAGTATTCTGCCATGCTAAGGAAAAACGCCGTATGCACCTTCAGACGTTGCAAAATTTCCTTTGACAAAACGCGAATTTTCTGGTAAATTTATGAATATTTTCTTCCCCATTTTTCAGATAGTTTATAGTTCGCAATTTTACCTCAAGATTCTGTTTTCAAGGAAAAATATTCATAACTTTCCTAAAAATAAACATTTTATCGATGGAAATTTGGCAACTCTCGAATGTTCATACGGCGTTCTTCCTTAGCACGGCAATATTGACCTTCATCACAAAGTAAATATGATGGTTTAACATACAGCGAAATTGTTGGAGTGCTGCATTGATCAGAAACAAAATCGCTGCTAGTTCCCCTTCAAATTTGGAGATGCAACCCACTCCTGCACCGAAGTTGATTAAGTTGCATCCACCGATTGACTGTATTCCGAACGTTTCATCCTGAGGCGCACAAGGACAGTATGAGAGGGATTTCTCGGGAGACTTTAACGCAACGCTAGAAACGTAGACGTCTTTTTCAAACTCTCATTCCTTCAGCTCAGGCTGCTGCAGGTTCCTACGATTCATTGGTGATATCGCTTGAACAAGCAATGAGGATGTTTCACTCATATTTGAGGATTTATCAAATATTTGATAGACAAGCACAGACATGCTAAGGAAAAACGTCATATGTACACTCATGCAAATATTGCCAATTGTTCCCCGAAAAAGTACTATTTTTAAGGAAAGTTGAGAATATTTTTCTTTGAGAGTTACAGGGGATTTAGATCAAATTTTAAAACAAAAATTGAAAGAAAGTATTCTATTTCTCAGAAAATCCGAGTTTCATCAACGGAAATTTGGCAACGGCCGAACGTTCATTCGGCAATTTGTCTTCGCAAAGCGGCATCATTTTCATGGGATGGGCCATCATGAGAGCCATCAAAATTCAGAGGAAAATTTTGGTTGATTTTTTCTTGAATAAATTAAAACTGGTCGTAAATTTTGAAATGCAGCAACGCAGAAGTGCATCTTTTGACTTCAGGTATCATCAGATGATTTGCTGCAGGGATCACGAATCAGCAGAAAAAGACCAACAACTTCGTAGCATCGTTAAATTTATATTTTCAAATAAAAAAGTTTATTCACAGTTTTCACAATCGAGCTATACACAATCCACGATTAAGTATGTATTAGATACAAAAATAAAATCCACATTATAAGTCTCTATTTAGGTACACCTAAAATTCCAAAACTTGTTACTCCGGAAACACTACTCAGACAGACTCTTTAAGCCTATGTACAATGATCATTATTTTTGTTATCACGTTAATCTTTCCACAATATTTTCTATTGAACAACTTGTATGTATAGTCAGAGATAACAATAAAACAAAGTTTTGGAGCGAATATCTATCCAGGCTACCCTGACTATCTTGGTATCTTAGATGAATGATGCAGATAACATGCTATTTTTTTCTATGGCGAATTATTGACAACATTTTTTTGAAAAACTTGAACTTATCATAACAACAGAAGCAGCAAAGCAATCTTCAGTGCTAAAATATTTCAATCCCTCCCGATGATAACAATGAAAAACAAAAAATACCTTAGTTAGGCAAGTCCTGTGCCCTTAACTTTATCTGATCAAATTATAAAATCAACATTTTGCGATCATGTTTCAATGTATAAGGAGGTAAGTGCTAATCTTTTCTATTTTCAAGTCTTCATCTTCTTGAAGTTTTAAGTTCCTAACCCACAGGTAGGTAAATACTCAAAGATTAAAAAAGTGCAGTGTATACGAACTTATTCTACAAGTCTAAAAATTTGGCACAACTGAAAAGAAGGCATCTGAAGGCATTTGTCTACCAACAAAAAGAAAAAAGAAAATAAAAGGAGTGCAAAGAGGACTAATAAAAATGTGAGGAAGCATGCAAGATATTCATGATTTGAAAGAATGGCACATTTGTTGTTATTTTCACCCAAAGAAAATGTATCAAAACTGCAGATTAATCTTTCACACTGCCTCTAGGAAATCATTTGCAAAGGCATTTTTTAATTTGACATGGAAAGCACCCTGTTAGACAATCCCTAGTGTTAAGTACTTTATAGTTTCCATATTGATCAAGATGCAACAAAATTTCCACGATTAAAAAGTGGAAATTAATTACACAACAAACATTTGATCAAATTCTGATGTAAATTTTATGACAATATGATGAGAATCCACACAACATTTAATTAAAAAAAAAAAATGTATAAAAATTTGATGTAAGTAACATGGCTTTTTTGCCCTAGCAACCAACAAGAACATTTTGCTGATAAATTCGGTTCTTAGGCGTTAGAAGTATTACTAACTCGATTTTGAGGTTCTGAGGACTATGGTTCTTCCTCCTTTAACGGCCACTAATTAAAATATATCAAACTTTGCATGACAAAATATCAAATTTAATAATGAAATGCGTACCTCCACAATGTGGAATACTTGATGAGTGGTGCACACCAGATATCACACTAGGAAATTTTCTTTAAAGGCCAGGTAAAGATTGTTATCAGCATATGATAGATTCAAATTTTTGAATGATCAGCTCAGCTGTGATTTTTCTCAAAATCACAGGGAAGAGGGTTCCATGGGGTTAGAAGCCCCCCCCCCCCCNCCCCCGACCCAAACATTTTTCCACAAAAAGGTATTTGTTTTTAACAATGTGAGTAAATATGGCCTTCAGAGCCCCCTTCTTCCGGCATTTTTCTTAGTTTAGACTCCTCTTTGAAAATTCCTGATTTCAACGCTTTTAGCCCCTAAGTAGGTAATAATGACTTGTGCGTGAAAATTGCAAGTTCTATTTTCTACTTAATTCAAGTAAGCAATGCCAAATTGAGAACCCGTCAACATCTGAAGACAAGGCCAAATAAACTATCTAACAAATATGCAGTGTGTTTTTAGGTTTAAAGACTGGCGACTCTTCACTGGGATTTCTCTTTTGCCAAAATAAAAGAATATACGCTAACTACATGCTTTCTTTCGACCCTACTTTACCCATTTAAAGAGGGCTATAGCTAAAAGGCCACCCCTCCCCCCTTCCGATAAATCAAGCAAAGCTGGGAAAAACCACCTTAAATTAAATCAGTTTTTGTAAATATTTGACCCAACTCCTTTCGTCTGTGAGAGAAGTACAAAATTAGTTTACACTTGGAGCCTTCATGGCACTTTGTATCAGAGCTCAACAATCTTCTCCCCCCCCCCCCCCTTTGGAACATTATTTAACAGTCCGTTACGAACGGCTCTCTACAAGACGGCACTAATTGTAAGTTTATGATGGAGGTGCTGCATTAAGTGACAGGAGGTTGAAAATTTGAAGGCCTCTCCAAAATGACTTGGAGAATTGTATAACTGATACATGCAAAAGGGTAAAAAAGAAAAGAAGAAGCAGGAAGTTAGTGCACCAGAAAACAGAGTGAAATCATAAAAATAGGTAGCAAGTTCAAATTAAAATATTCTTTGGGTGCTGCTACATTTTTCAAGAACAAGGCTCTGGCCTTGAAATGCCCAGGAATGCCACTGCACATGGCAAAAATTACGGATCTCAAGTTTCCAAAAAGTAGGAGTAAGTGGAGATTACATTGGCGGGTGGTAAAATAAACTAGAAGCAAATCAATTATATAACTAATAAGTGTAATATCAATTAATATAAAACATATTAAAATATATAAAATAACTAGATCAATGACGATGATAAAAATCTAGGGAGCGATAAAAAATTTGAAAAAAGGGACAGATGGGAATTATGCTTAGCTAAAATAATTCTTTAGGAATATAATTGCATTGCAACTTAGAGCTGAATCACGAGGGTAAAATAAACTACGATCAGACTTGCGACCTCCTGTATGAACAGGCTTCAGCGAAAATAATGTGATAAATACAAAAGCGCTAAAAATGGAAAACTGAATAAATTATCTCCTAAATTACATAGTGAGCCATGTAGCTGAGTAAAACCATCAAATCTTTTCAAATGGATAAAAATAGATAGGAGGGCTGCACTATAAATCACAATTTATCAATTTCTTAGTTGGAGAAAATCTACCAGGGAAATCTAACCGACCACACAATGGGGCACTAGACAAGGTATCATTTACAGCACAACGTTGCTTGGTTCCTTCTCAAGAATTTTACATGAAAAGAAAGGATTCACACGACAAGAAGTTTGGAACAGTTTGTACCTTGTCTTTGTTAGTGGTCCATTAAAAAATGTCTACAGAATTTTTTTTTTTACTTGCAAAACTTTAATCAAAGTGGCTGGTCAACCTGTAGTAACAGTGGAGACACTGATACAAAATGAAAACGAGACTTACAGATTTACAGATATACATGATTTCTTGCAAAATAGATAAAAATGATACCTAACAGAGGATATGTTTAGAAAAAATCGTTCATTAATGCCTACTGACAAGGTATTAATACAACTTTCTATGGTGATAATTAGTTAAAATTGATGCAAGCCTTCGTATGTACTTTTTTCCCACTTCTTGACAGTCGAATACAATAAGACACATCTAACTTTACTTGAAGTTACTACTGATATGAAGTTTCTAAATGATAATCAATCAAAATTTTAGGAGCAATTTTCAAAAGTATTTGAAAGTAATCAAGCAGAACAATAAATAGAAAAGGAGACTATGAATATAATAGTAATACAGCGGCATATTCCTGAATGACTAACCAAACAATAGTTATGTTTTAACTGACAGTACAATGCACAAAGGATTTTGAGTGGAGTTCCTTGAGGAGTATAAAATATGATTGGGGGTTTTTAAATGTTGCAACTGGGGTGCAGTTTTTGCATTTTGCCATTAGTACACTGTTAATTTTTGATGAAAAATAAAGTGAGAGACAAGAGGACAGGAACATCCAACTGAGATTTTAATCAGGACATGGCAAAATGTAATTTACTTTTGTTTTTGTTTTTTCAACACATCAATTTTATGAAGAGATTGCCTCTGCCAGTGAGTTCAACTCAAAATTCGAGAGGAAAAGTAAAATGGTGATCAAGTTCTAATCATGCATTACTTTGGTTTAAAGTGTTATGTATGTTCTGTTAAGAAAAAAAGGGGAGGAGAAATAAAAAAAGCTTGGAAGGTCTTTGAACTTTGACAAAAGCACTTGCCAAGTCAAATCCTTGTACAAAAGTTTTAAACACAACTTCCCTTCCCTTAATATCCTACCCCCTTACCTTTTTGACAAGCCCATTCTTTGAAGCAAAGGATACGAAATGACTAGCAGAGGTGCTCCCTACTCTGTTAGCGTTGACGATTTTAGATTGATTAATTTGAGATGTCAATATTATCATAATGGTATCAAAAAATCATATCAATTTTTTGGAGTGAATTTAAGTTTAAAATCAATTTTTTATGACAGCAAATTGTTAAAACTGGCAAACATTTTGTGGCAAATTATGGTCCAATTTTCAAAAGCACCCACGATGATGACTCCATCTTAGAGATTGTTGATCTTTTTAGTCAAAAAAACCAAAGGAATTGATCATTGGGAAAACCAATTTTTTGCTGCTGATTGTTAATTTGAACAGATTCTTCGGAATATATTATATTAATCTTTTTTCTAAAATCGCCATCCTTACAATCTATTCAACTGACAAATGTTAGGACTTCGCAAAAGCCTGAGGGTCTTTGAAATGGCTTGGATAAAAAATTCAAACTTGCTATCCAGAACAACATTGACTTTCAGAAAAGATAATTCATACACAAACATTTCTAAAATTTGTAAAGAGGGAATCAATACCAGACTACTCATTGAGCTATTTTGATACTGAAGGTTAAGTGAATCTTCTGCCGGATAGTGTCGAACATCAAGATACTAAATGCATCATGTTAATAAACCGATTTTGATTAAAATTCACAACACAAGTAGAGCTATTATGCCTAAAGGCAAATTTTAGTTGTTATTTCATAAATATTCTTTTTCAAAAACTCTTGATTGAGCCACTGAGTGTGAGAAGGACACCTCTTGGTTACGGCGTTTCCGCACCTCCGCTGCGTATTGCGATCATGTATTCAAGAGGAATATTCAGTAAAAATTTCAATGAAATACATGTATTCACTTTCCTAACAATAAATGAAATATTAGTAGAAATTATTAAGGGCCACAATCAAGAAGTGCCTTTCTTGCAGCCAGTGCCTTATTTAACAATAAAATTATCTGAACACAAATTTCGAACATTGGTCAGCTTAACAAATAATGAATTATGCCTTCAGAAGATTCCAGCTTTGTTTCGAGTTTTTGGTGGGCACTTTTTATGAGTAGGCAACTGAAATAAGCCTCTTGATAAAATGGATAAGTTTCCGGGTTAATATTTTGGGTGTGTAGAACTGGTGTTAAATGAAATCTCATTCAAGGGCTTGATGTGTAACATCTGACAAAGATTCACCTGAAGTCCAGATTTCTTACTTGTGCAATTGTGCATCCTATGCACTAGCGCATTACCAAAACTAAAATTCTCATGACTAAGGAGAAAGTAACAAAGTTTGATGACAAGAAAAATTTCGGAGAATTTATGTCATCAGGAGCTCTATCAATCAATTCGACGAAGGTTCTGGTGTTAATTCACTCTGAAAAACACTCATTTAGAATTTAAAATTCTTTGAACATACGTAATAGAGAAAAGAAGAATTACAGATAAAATCTACTATTCCTACTTCGCTTTAATTAAAATAAATTAGTTATAAGGAAAAAATATACAGTCTCTAATCATTTTAAAAAGAAAATAACAACAGTTAAGGAAGAAAAAATCAACAACTTTTTTGTTAAATTTGAAAATTGTCATAGTGTCAAACCTACTTAAAAGTCAATCAATTACAGAGGATTACAGCAAGATTCTAGTTCAGACTGTTAGCGTTTTCTTTTGCTGACATTATTGCAGGCGTGAGACAAGCTAGGGGTTTTGCCAGTCTCAAGAACGGATGCTGCAAAAAAATAGTAAATGATTAGAAATGCACTCCAAAAACAGAGATGATGAAGGAATAGTTATCAAACACGAATTTACTTACTGTAAAAAAACAGGCAAGACCAATGATGTGAAATTAGGAACATATGTGAGAAATAAAAAAAGCTGAAAATCAAAGTATTTTTTTATGCATTACAGCGTCCTCATGTGGAATTGAGAAAAACTAAAAACATCACATACATACATTTAAGTCGCTTTACAGCACTCCCTCGCGCTCTACGACTCCTAACCTCTACTGCTCTCTTTCAAACCACAAATCTTGGGGGATTGAGCACCTTAACATTTCCGCTTCAATCCCTTCCCTCCAACCTTTCATTGGGCGCCCTCTGCGTCTTCTCCCAGGAGGAACCCAGTCAAGGACCTTCTTCGGCAACCTGTCTCCTGCCATTCTCTGGACATGACCATACCAAATGAGTTGTTTTGTCATAATGTCATGCACGATGTTCTGCTTGGCATCCATGATATCCCGTACCGTCTCATTCCTGACGCGATCCTTTCTGGAAATATCAGCAGATCTACGCCAGAAGGCCATCTCTGTTGCCTCTAAAACCTCCCGGGTCCACTGTTTCATCAGCCATACTTCACACCCGTAGGTTACTATGCTCTTGACAATCGCGTTGTAGATCCTTCTTTTGTTCTCTTTGGAGATCCTTTGGTCCCAAAGGACTCCATTTAACACAGCGATTGCCCTCCTACCCAGCATATTCCTCTTCTTGATGGCCTGGTCCAATCTTCCATCCTAGGTTAAAAACACTCCTAAATATTTGTAAATATCGCAGCTTCCAATTTGCCGCCCATCCTCTAATTCTACACTTTGCTGATTCCCGCCAACGGTCAACTTCTCGGTTTTGCTGACATTCACCTCGAGGCCCCATTTCCGATACTCGGCCACCAACTTCCGAGCATCATCCTGATCTTGGGCGATAAGTACTTGGTCATCAGCAAAGCATAACGTGTAAAGAGTTTCTTCATTATTCAGAGGGACACCCATTCCGGAACATTTTTTCTTCCATTCACGCAGTACATGTTCTAAGTATATTTTAAACAAGGTGTGGTAAACTAAAAACATCAGCTTGCGTATTTTATACTGTAGAATGCAGCAAAGTTGTTAACTCATTTCTACCAGAATTATCAGTTAGGCGATATTGCTTCATAGCCCTCGACATGCTAAAATTCGAAGTCTCTAGACCTGCCGTGGTATTGAATTTTTTTTTCCATTTCTATGGTTTTGCATTAGATTTATGAGATAGCATTATTGAAACTTTTTTCCAAAACTCATTGTTACAACTATAAGTATGCATGTACTTGAATTGATTCCTAGCTGTGTTGAACTGCAAAACTGATAGACTCAGGATAGGCAAAGAATGTATACAACACAGTTCTTCATCTCATCCGACTCAGTTTAATTTCCCAAATTCAGCTCAATTTATAGTTGAATACTTGATGAATTAAAAAAGAAAAAGGGGAAGGCAAAGTTTTAAGGCAATGGGTCAGTTGCGCTAGTCACAGAATTGTGTTTTGATGCTTGATTCTCCTAGGTTAGCTAAAAATAATGAGAAGCATCTAAACAGCAACTTTCTACGTTCAGTATTGACTGAGATGACACGCTTAGAAAAATTCAGTATATGACATCATCCACCTCGGTAGAGACGCTCTTGGTTTCTTCCACCTTGCTTTCATCAATCAGTGGAACTCAACGAGAAACTTGGATGAGAGCAAGGTGGAAAAAACCAAGGGTGTCACTACTTCGGTGAATGATGTCATCAACCGAATTTTTCAAGGCAAGATATCTCGGTTAGTAATTAGACATCGGAAAATTTTGCCGCTACGATTCGCCGCAAAATTTTTAGAATGTGTTGAGGAATCTGAACAGGACAGAAGCACCAATCATAACCCCCTGATCACGAAAATATACAGCAAAATTTTCCAATGTCTATTAGTAATGAACATAGAGAGATGCTGTTGGGACTGATCTTATTATTTTTAGCTGATCTACAAGAATTGAGCATCAAAATACAATTCTGTGACTAGCGCAGCTAACCCATTAGTTTAATCATACTTACTTTTAAAAGATCTGATGCTGACGCACGAGCTTCAACATCTACTTCAAGGCACTTATCTATGAAATCTTGAAATAAGGGAGATAACTTCTCTTTTTCCTTTATTTTAGGTTTTCCATTGGTTGCTATTAAATATAATGCCTGAAATTAAAGGACAAAAATAAAAGTTAGCACTTAAAAATGGAGTCACATTAGAAGGAATTAAAAGTACAGGCAATTTAAGATTTACAAGGAGACATTACATTGAGGATTCGGTTACAGGGGTAAATATCTAAGAATAAAGACAGAGACTAGCATTTTCAAACTTGCAAAAGCTTTGGGAAAATATCATGGTTTCTAGTATTTTTCCAAACCCTGTACTTCGTCTGAATTTTTCCAATGCTTGTACATACAGAAATAGAAAAAACAGAATTCAACATTAAAACCATTCAAACTACCAAGCCTTAAAATTTGAACAAGTCATTGCTGTTCGTACAATGCCAAAATTTCCTGCATTTTTAGGATTTTTTCTACAATTTCCATCGTTTTATCTGTCCTGTTAAACTCTAATCGACAATGTATGTCAGCAATCACATAACTCGTTTGCGGTGTCTGAAAATCTCCGCCTCTATGTTATTTTTTTAAAGGAGAACAATTTGACATCATTCCTTGAAGTTTATGCAGAATTTTCTTCGCAGGGAGAAGAAAAATCACGGAAGCTTTAAAGAATTGCCGTTGAGTAGTTTTCCGTTTAAAAAATAAAGTATGACAGGAAGTCTGCGACATCGCAAACCAAGTTAACTGATTGCCGACTTACACTGTCGTAATATTTTCCAGTCCATGAGACCTTTGAATCAAAAGTCTGGTTTCCTCTGTTACACTATCACTAAATATGCATAAACTTTGTTTTGCATTTGAATAACAATGTTTTTCAACAACAGAATTTCTATATTTCCTTTTAGTAAGTTCATTCGAGCCTCATAATTAATCACGATGTTTAAACTTACCCTGAGGGGATTTTCCATTAGATAAGGAGGTTCGCCTTCGACCATCTCGATGGCCATGATGCCCAAAGACCAGATGTCTACTTTGGGGCCGTACTGCTTTCTACTGACAACTTCAGGTGCCATCCAGTAAGGAGTGCCTACCATGGTTGTCCTCTTGTTTTGCTCCGGAGATATTTGGGCACAGAAACCAAAATCAGCTGCGAAATGAACAAGAATAAAATTTGAATGACATGTCTTTGATTTGGACATATTTCTGTTAAACGGAACTAAGCGCCAAATTGAGTTCCTTTTGAGGATTTTAGAATCCCGGATAGCGCTTTCTGTCAAACGGAAATAAGCGCCATGGAAAGGCATTGCAAGTATAGGACAGAACGAGCATTGCGTCCCGCAACACCCGCCAATCCAAGCCCCCCTCCCTTCCTCCCCCGATGGCACTTAGTTCCGTTCGATAGAAATACGTCAATTTTGGTGGACAGGTCTTCAGTGATCTTACTTGCACTGCCATTATGATTCTTGATGAGGATGATTGATCTTGTTTGATTCATTGAACTCCCGGATTTTTCTTGAAATTTTCTGAGATCTTCCAATTTTTTTTTTAATAGAAAATTTGGATTGTTTGACAGGCTGTTTAAGAGGTTAAGGGGTATGAATTTTTAAAGACTCAAACCTGGGAACATGGAGCGCTCGGAAAAACCTTACAAGGTTCCATTCCGCTCCTTGGCTGCTTAGGTGTTTTTAATCCTCTTTGAGATTAATGCATTCACACTTTTCTACTTATACACCATTTTAAAAATCGGATATCGACGGTGAAACTACCAAACCACGTATCTCAGTTTGCGACGTCGCAGACTTCCTGTCATACTTTATTTTTTAAACGAAAAACTACTTAACATCCAGTCTTGAAAATTTCTGTGATTTTTCCTCTTTGTGCGGGGAAAATTCCGTGAAAATTTCAAGGAATGATATTGATTTGGTCTACTTTAAAAAAATAAAATGTGAGCGTACATTTTTAAACACCGCAAACGAGATACGTGGTTTGGTAGTTTCACCGTCGATATATTTCCAAGAGAGGCGAAAGAAAAACCATTCCGCCTGCCGGAGTCCAGCACTGCAGTTTTCCTTTTAAATTTGAACTGAGAAAAAGAGGTTTGAAGATTTGTTTCTTTTATTTCATTGAATTGAAACTTTTCAATGAAAGAACATTTTGACATTCAAGATGTTTTTTCTGAAATTTAAAATTAGTTGAATTCAAAACTGCTTCGGATTTATTTTCTTCCCAAAATGGAACCTGGAGCATTTCTGTTGAACGCAGTCAAAATTCAAGTTGTTATTTTGTGTAACTGATTCAAAGTCAAAATTATAATCTATGCTGAAACGAAAAAGTACTTACTCAGCTTAACGCTACCATCAAGGCCTAGTAAAATATTGTCCGATTTGATATCCCTGTGAATGACTAAATTACGATGAAGAAACTCTAGAGCCTGGAGCACCTCTCTACAGACGGAGGCTATCTCACCTTCGTCCATGCAAGAATCTTGAACTAGATCCGTTAAAGAACCACCAGGTAAATATTCCATGACAACCTGTAAGAACAGAGATCAAGGGAGAAAAATTAATATGCTTCAATGAAACTTTCTATGATTTAATGCCTCTGACTTGTAAAAGCACCATTTTGTCAAGACAGAAAATACAGCTTTGTGTAAAATTCCATCTTCATCCAGATTTTTTGAAATAAATCATCTTAGAAATTACAATAATTAGATCAATTAACACTCGCCGATATGAATATTTGCTAAGTTTACGATTCAAGAACAATTATCTTAGAGATAATAACATTACGATAGCTTTAGAATAATGACTAATACGCACCCACAGCTCGTCTCCAACTAAGTAGCTTTCCAAATAATTGACAACGTTTGGATGTTTGTTCTCTCTCATTACTAAAATTTCATTAAGAATAAACTCTTTCTTTGGTTGCTGTTTTAAGTTCATCTGTTTGATTGCAACTTCCATTCCGGTCGAAGTTTCAATTGCCGTGTAAACCCTTCCAGAGGCACTGGAAAGCAAAAGAGAGATATAGATAAATAAAACACATCATCACTTATAAAGCTTCTGTTGTAACTTTAATTTTTCTGAAATGAGCCGCAAGACAAAGTAGAAATTGAAGTATTACACAACTTATTTTCTTTTCAAAATTTCACACGGAAAGCAAATCGCACAACAAGTCCAGAAATCGACTCCTTAACAAGATATAAATGTTTACAATCAATAAACATTGGTTGAATGGCAACAATACGAATGACATCATTTGTGTAAACTAACTTCTAATTGATCTGTGTTCAAGATGCTTTTTCATATCTCGTTCAGAAGTTGATTTCTGAAGTTCCTGTTGTTTTGAAAGCTTTCTCCATAAGATTTGAAAGAGAAAACATGTGATGTTTTTTCCTAGTTAGGACCTAGTCTTGCTGCTCATTTTTTTCTTGCTTTTGCAATATTGATAACACTTCATTCTGTCCACAGTTCATGGGCATCAGAAACAAAAATTTTAAATTAGTGTGTTCAATCTATCCACGTTCATGGACTCCACGAACACCTAATATTGGTTTAAGGTGTTCAATCTATCCACGTTCGTGGACTCCACGAACACCTAATATTGGTTTAAGGTGTTCAATCTATCCACGTTCGTGGACTCCACGAACACCAAATATTGGTTTAAGGTGTTCGATCTATCCACGTTCGTGGACTCCACGAACACCAAATATTGGTTTAAGGTGTTCGATCTATCCATGTTCGTGGACTCCACGAACACCTAATATTGGTTTAAGGTGTACGATCTATCCACGTTCGTGGACTCCACGAACACATAATATTGGTTTAAGGTGTTCAATCTATCCACGTTCATGGACTCCACAAACACCAAATATTGGTTTAAGGTATTCGTGGAGTCCACGAATCAAGTTTTCAGAAATTAATCAAAGATGTGCTTACGCATGACTTTTGATGAGGACTTGCAACTTCTGAGGAAGCCATAAACTTTCAAACTTGAACTTTTAAGAACTTGGAACTTGTACAATCTCATGCACGGTGCCAAATTTATTCAGTTATTTGAAATAAAAATTGTGTTCGTGGAGTCCACGCACGTGGATAAATGGAACACACTAATTTAAAATTTTTGTTCATGGTGTCCATGAACTGTGGACAGTATGATGCGTAATTCATGTATGTTTCTGTTCAAATTGATTAAGAATACAGACTCAAAGAGGACGGAACAATTCCAAAGATAAAAGAGGGAGCCAACACTCCATTCATAATCAACTTTTGTCACAATCAGCCTTCATGGTGATGAGTCAGCAGATAATTGTGACTTAAGCAATGTTTCCAAACTACTTAGATTCATTAAATAACAATAATTCAAGTTAATGATTGAAGTTTCTGTACTCTAAGCATAGTATTTCTTTGTTTCGTTAGATGAGAGTGGATCTACCATTTCTTTGACTGATGATCAGGTAGTAAAACTTTCATTTAGGTCTTAAACATCAATATAACATATTTTTAGAATTATAAAAAAGACTAGAAGGTCCCAAATAGATCTATTGCTTCCTAACGTAAACTCAGTTTCATTACACGGATTACGGTTTTACAATTATTTGATTCAACAATGAATATTTTTGATCCACGGACTGCCATCACCAGGTAAAACGGAACCAATTATTGTAAAATACAATAGATCAATCAGTACACTGACGCGCCGCCAATAGAAATTAAGGCATATACATATAAAATGATCATTCAGCAAAGCAAAGCTACTATGTTCTGCTAGTGTAGTAGAACACACAATGAACGCAGAGTTGGACTTGCAATGCATATTTTAAAGCACTGTCGAAAATAACAATACCGCACAACATTTTAAAAGAATACTCTTCATTGACTTACCCCCGTCCAATTTCTTCCATTTTAGTGTACTTCCTCTTTGGATCTCCCACGCTGACTATTGACCTCAAAACTTCCACGACTTCATCATCTCCGATTTTGGCGTTCCTAATTTCGGCACTTGTTATAGTTGCATTAGAGTTATTGGTAAGTGCTTTGATATTTGTGGTGGCATTATTTTTGTTTTTGTCTAGAATTGTTGCGGGAACTGTGCCATTTGTCGGTCGCGTTATTGGAGTTTTTGGTACATTTGATTGCACAACAGGCGGTTGCTCTTCTTCTACAGGCTTAGTGTACTGAAAATAGAAGAAAAAAATTGAGTTGAGCATAGGTTAGGTGGCAAAATGTGAGGAAAAATTTGTCTTATTGACACAAATAACAGAGCCGATTAGTTAAGTTTAGTTGGAATCAGTCTAACTATATCAAACATTACCTAATCTTCTCTGATGTTGTATTTTTGAAACAGAAAACTAAACAGCACCGAAGCTTGAAATTTTATATAGTATTCTTCATAATCAAGAGAAATTTCACGGATAATTGAAAGGCTTTAGCTCTCTGTCTACGTGAAATGTAAGAAGGCAGATTCCTGTTAAATACTTTCAACTGATAGTTTGTGATACTATCAAAAGAGGTAACCCCAAAAGGAACACAAAAATTTGGAAGGCCTAGGCCAGGGGGCATAAAGATGCTATTAACGTACTAAAGAACTATGGTACGGTATTAACCCTACTGCCCCCTCAGATATTTCCTAACACCTGGCAAGACCCTCCTGTCCTAATCTCTAGAAAATTGGCCCAGAAATGTTTCCTCTCCAAAAAATCATGCAGTGCTTCTTAAGGAGAAAAGCACTTGCACTAATTTGCGGCACCACAGCATGCACAGCATTAATATATTACAACATTGCAAAATTTTCAAGAGCAAATTATAGTTTTACTAGAGTCCCTTTATACCCAGAGTTAAGACAACTCACTTTTGGTTGGGCTGAAAGTGGCCTAAAAAAAAAATCCAATTCTGATTGGTTCTCGCTCATGGAGGCCAAAACGAGTGCACCTAGATGGCGGTACCTCGAATGTGAACAAGAATAATGAAAATATTACCTAATTGTGGTTTATCAAGAGTAAATTGTTATTCCCATCGGTCCGAAATGAAAATAGATTAAGAAATTATTCACAAACCAATCTCATTTTCTTTTTAATTGGTCAATTTGTTGATGTTGTTGTTTTTGTGTGACAGACATCGCAGGATTCCTGATCCTTATCCCTCAATATCGTTCGTTTGGGTGCACTCGTTCCGGCCTCCATGGCCAGCCAAGGCCGACTGCCAGTCAGCTGATAATCGAGTTGTCTTAACTCTGGGTATAGAGGGACTCTAAGTTTTACTAGAGAATAGCTAGATGTGTCTAACCAAAATTGTCAGCAATGTCTGTGCTAGTTACATGCAAAAATTAGCACAATTTTGGACAAAAACTTTAGTATCATATTCCTGTAAAATTTTGAAGGATGGAGACACTTATGCAATCTTGGGAAGGAGTTATGTTCTCTCATCCGGGTAATGACAAATTAAGACTTATCCTGAAGGCGCATGGATGGTATATGAAAAAATCATCAAAAATTGGAAGAGCTAGGAGAAAAAATTAAAGAAAGAAATTATAACATAATTTACATAGAGCGTGTGCATAATTATTTGAGGCACTGGATGCGAAAACGGCACTTCTCGGTTGCAGTATTTCAGAATCTCCTCTAATATTTCATTCGTTGTAAGGAAGGTGAATACATCCATTTCACTAAGAATTTCCTGAATAATCCTAATGATTTTACAATTTTCTTTGAAGAGAATTCTTGAAAAATCACCCATTAAATTCTTCTCCAAGGGATTAATTAGCAACAGAGATTCTGAAACACCGCAATCGAGAAGTGCCCTTTTTGCATCCAGTGCCTCCTTTATTGATGAAATATTCAATATACATAAAACAATAGAAAAAACGAAAATAGTTGACATCCTATAATCAGGTTGTTCTTTGATTATTGTCAGTCCCTTATTCGGTCAGCTTCCAGCGAAAAACAACTCCCGAGTTAAAAAAAAAATGAAATACACTAAAGCAGACAAAAACTACGGAAAAGGAAGAGCAAAGACTTACAATTGACTTCGTTCGATCCGGTCTTGTTGGAATGGGAGGGGGAGGAGCTTCATCTTCATGCTCAGAGGTGGATGTGGGTGGCTGCTCTGTATCAGTTGTTGGAGTTGTTGAGTTGGGAGAACTGCTTGACAGATGACTCAAACCACTTTGATGGCTATGCGAAGAACCAGAGTTTGGATGTCGCAGGTTTGGCCTTCCGATTTCTGAAATTTGCGCGACAAAATTAGTTTCTGGATATTCGCTTGAATCCTTGGATACAAAATCATTTCACAAAATTGTGGAATAAGTTATACCAAAAACCGCCAAACGCAAGAAAAATCGGCTTTCTTGATTTCAAGTGGGGCAACCTCCATTATCTGGTTCAATTTTTTCGTCTTTGTCATTTATTTATTTTTCCACGTATTTGGAGTGTTAAACTGTAATCTCCACAAATCAACCCTCTTAGGTAAGCGCGTGGTCTGCAATGGGGAATAATGGTTTTGCAAGTGTGAAACTTTGAATGGTGTTGTAAGCGGCTTCAATAGGTCAGGTTCCATGGAAGCATATTTTGTCGACAACACAGAACAGATCAAATTTAAAGGGAATTGTGACATTTCTCTGTGCAAACATTTTGCAATCAGAGGCTACTATTTTTGGCTCATCAAAAGTACCTACCTGCATAAGGAAACTATTGGAACATACGTTGTTTCTAAAGTGGGCTGGAAATAGTGGCTCAATATTGCAGAATTAAGTTCAAAGTACAACTTAAGCAAGAAGCAAGTTTAGACATTATGATAAATAATTTCTCATCAAAATTTTACGTAGAACATGATCTGTACAACAGAAATTATCGACAGTATCTCCTTAGCAAGATATTAGCATTTTTTTATGCGTAAATTTAAACTTATTGCTCATGAAAAAAGCCATGATCTATTGGAGTTAAATTGCTCACTAAACATTGCCGTAATAGTTTTGGCAGTATGAAAAAATGGCATTCTCCATTTCGGAGTATCTACTTGACTGTTGCTTGTGGACACTTTGAACAACACACGGTGGAAACGAAACACTGCTTTTAGAGAAGCCTGCCAAAACTGTTGTAGTGCACAAATTGATTCAGATAGACTGTGATGTCACATGCAAGCGGGAAATCCAAATTTCTCGTGACCAATGCAAAATAAACAATAGTGTATTTCCTTTAGAAAATACACTGACATTAATAGCTTGGTTGAGAGTTGATTTCAGCAATTTCCATTGCACAAATCGTGATCTACGTGAAATTTTGATGGGGAAAAACAGACCAGAATACTTGAACTCGTACTGATGGTCCATTATACTGCTACAAAGATAATAAATTTTAAATCAAAAGATACATACCGACCATTTCAGCAGTAGTCATATATTTAGATTGTTTGAGGTCTTTACTGGAATTGTCATACCAATTCAAAACATCCAAAACTGCCTGAGGGTTCTTCTTCTGTTCTTGTTTGCTGATGTTCGACCTCATCAGTAATTGCGCCCATGCTTCTGGCATTCCCTACAGAAACAAGAGAAAAGAAAATCATTAGCGTAAGTATTCGTAACTGAAATCAAAGCCATTATTGCATATATTCCTTATTTCTTACTATTCCTTCTATAAGAGAAACGAATTTAGCACTGGAGGCCACAAAAAGTATAGAAATATAATCTTACAATGTAGGAAATGCATTTAAATTAAATAAATAGTAAAATAAGTCAACTGCAGAATGGAGTAACTATAGGTTGCTCTATCTACAAAGTAAAAAAGAAAAAGGAATTACAAAAAAAGGGGACGAGCAGCTGGGCTTATTGAAAAACAATAGATATTTTTTGGATAAACAGCAGGGTAATTATATAAGGCCGATCAGACTGGATAGGAATAGTTTGATACAATGTTAGATACAGATATGATAAAGCTTAACGCAGTCCAGTCAGTAGAGAAGTTACAGAACCACCCTGTAGGATATGATTCACTGGATGGCATACAGGTAAACTTCGTCTGAGAAACAATACCTACATTATAATAAAAGAGAGGGAGGAAAAAAACTGCCATTTAAGAGAAAAATGCGGTACAAACATGAACCCATTGCCAAATTTCTTTAGATAAAATATTCATTCTTTAAGAAAGTTGGAAATATTTATCCTCAATAGGTTCAGATACTATAGATCTAATTGTGAATACAATTTCTTGAAAAATTGGGGGGAAATGTTCATAAGAGTCCTATTGAATTTTTGTTTGGACAGAGAAAATTTGGCTTTGGCTGCAGGCTAGAGATAGACGAATATCGAATTCGATTATTAGAATATTTGAAACTTTCCGATTGCGATTATTTGAGAAATCGAATCGTGCGATTTTGAATACCTTGAAACGAATATTCGAATCTTTCCGATTATTGTTCCAATTTTTTATTTTTTTGTAGAGGGGTGGAACAAAGCTTGCACATGCACACGGCTCTATTTTCCGCACTTTCGGAAAAGTATTTCCACACGATGGACTTTTTCAAACCATACTGGTGGTAACTTGGACTCCAGGGCATGTAGGTCTGCACTAAATGGTCAATAGGTCTGGAGGGGAATTTTTTAACATCGTAATTTCGAACTGTAGAAGGAAAAGTAATAGAAAATCACAGTTTTACCTATTCAAATATTAATCGGATAGTAATCAAATATCCCAATACTCCCACCAACATTCGATTGTGATGCCATTATCTCGGTGACGATATTTCGAATATCGAATATTGAAATATTCGACCATCCCTAGCGAAGGCTCATACGGTCTTTTTCCTCGGCATGGTAGTATTGCAATCTCAGAAAACTCCCATGTAAGTCATAGATTTGGCTCAAAATAATATAATTAACGGGCTGGGGATTTCAATATTGATTGTAGCCTTATGATAAGTATAATGTGTAAAAATTAACTTGTCTTTAATAAAGACAATCCAGCCTCTCATTTAAGGGAAACAAAGTGATTCTTGGAAAACACGCCATCAAGAAGCTTTACTTATGATCGAAGCTTATGTTTCATTGCAGAGGAACAGAGAAAAAATCAGAACTACGATTTATGGGTACAGATTTCTGCTTTGACCCATCCATACTGCACCAAAAAATACGCAGTGTAAGTGGTTAAAGTTGGATATTGCATGCATCAAACATAGATATGCCCGATCGAAAGTGACAAATTGTGAGGATAAAAAATACATGCAGATAAGTAAGTAAACATTAGATCAAAAAAAAGCTCACAAAAAAGGAAAAACTGAATGAAAGATAAAGTTTGTAAAAATCAGTCTCTTGGGTTTACTTACTTTGTGAGGCAGCTTGAAAAAAGAAAAAAGAGGAAAGAGATAGAAAAACAGAGACTCTCAAGGACCAGGATGAAAATAATTATCAGGGTGGAGGGCACTAGGTAAAAGAGACCATATTTTTCATAAATTCAGCCTGAATTTTTCGCCTGAATAGTGAAGCATTACAGCAGATCAAATTCCACGCCAGTGAAAAAATCTGCTTGATAAAATTCAATTCCAAATTGTGTGTTGTTCATGGTTTTGATGATTTTCCCATTGTAAGTTTTACTGAATTCCAAAGCTTTTATTTGATTTTTTCTGCTCTCATGCCAATATGTGGTAGGAGGGTTTCTTACAGAATTGAAGCATTTTGATAAACCAGACAAGCCCATGCTCCGCCCATCAAACGTCAGAAGAAAAAGTCAAGATTAGCTCTTGGGAGGATATGCTACTGTTAAAGAAATATATCTACAAAAGGTGGAGGTAAATGTGTATCAACTAACAGGCAGAGCTTCGAACTAAATGTATATTTACATTGTACAAGATTAAAAAAGAAAGGCCACACAACTGTCAAAAATTACTTCACACAGAAGCAAAGATATAAATTTCGACCTTGTTCAAAATACAAATACAGGCCAAAAATAAAAAAAAAAAAAACTCCAAGTCTTTGAATCGCTTAAACTCTTCAAAATAAAAACTTTATCTGAATAAGCAAATACAAATTGGTATGCTCTCTTAATCTAGAGATGGAAAAGGACCTGCAAACAGCTCACAATCTGTCCATGATGTAATGCTATTCAGAAAACTTGGAACAAAAAGTAGCTCGAGCAACTTTAGAAACCACCTTACCACTTTAAAGGTTTTTTTTAGATTATACTATGGTCATTTAAATGTCAACACCCTGTCATCAGGTGATAGAATAAAGAAAACTTGTAGGTAATTAAGACAAAACGGATGCACTCGCGAATGGCGTGGTGTTGGCAAACAGTGGTCAACAGCAGTACTGGTAGCAGTGATTAGTGATGCAGTTTGAGAATGGGTTGCAAGTGACAGACTGCCGGTTAGGATTCCGTGGGCCGATGCAATTTTCCAACCATTAGATTTCGTAAGTTGATGACTTGAAAAGNCCCCCCCCCTCCAAAAAAAAACCCATCAAAGTTGGACTCAAATTCCTGCACTTCCATTTCATTTTAGTTTATTTTAGTGCCAAAAGATCATGCTTTAACTGAAAGATAGCCACAGTAGAATCAAAAATAACTTTTAAACTGATGAGATACTTTCTTAAAATTTTCTTGTACAACTCCTTGATTGAGCAGTTCATGATATCCTTACTATACTAATCGATTGGTGGTTAAACGCTTCCTTGTCAAGAGCTAAAAACAAAATGATAAAAAATGAGCAAAATACACTACCAGAGCAGTGTGAGCAGCCTAGCTACTAGCAGCACTCGCACACAATATTTTGACTGTACTTTGGAAGAAGTTAGAGATAGCTCCAAGAGAGGCCATGCATGAGTTAAAATATTTACCGTAAACTCCCCGGTCTGTGCATCAAATCCAACGTGAACGGTATGCTCAAAATTAGTTGGGTACGATATGTTGGGTTTTTCATTTTCAGACCGCCCATGCTGTCCTTTCGTCCTTGATGACTTTGATTTTGTAGTTTTCTTCTTCTTTTCCTCACCGTCAGGCTCTTTCGGTAACGGTCGCATATCTACCGGCAAATTAGGCACGGAGTCTCCTCTTGCCATTCTGAAACTAAACAAACATCATGAAGGGGACAAGGCAAGGAAAAATTGTACCAACACACCCTACATACCTTTCACAGTCTGCATCACAGATTCAACAATGTACGAGTTGCGAAACTAGCTAATTCGTTCGGAGAAAGTATCTGAGTGAATGTACGAGGTATTTGATACACTGTTTTGAGAGAAATTTTTGCAAAAATATGAACAGTTGTTGAGGATTTTTTCAAACACTAAAAACTAACATATACCTGACTATACAAATTGTGCAAATAAAGCAAAAGTGCAACTGTTGACTCAAAAGAGACCATTTGAGAGGCCGTAAGATTTAATTGGATCTAACATCCGAGTGACATGTCCAGTAAAGAGAGATAATGGGCAACTGCGAGGTTTTGATGACTTCTAATGGCGATTACTCAGACGTAATTGAAGATAATTCCCTGATGAAATCTCAAATTAGTAGGGCCTAAAATAGATAATTTCGATGAACCAAATTGAGTGCTGAAAGTATCACACCGCCAGCGTGTAAATTTTCGATGGGCTGAAGGACAGGTATGAGACCTGTGAGTAAAGGAAATTGCAATAGCATGAAAATTTCAGCGTTGTTGAAGTAGACTGCTCATCCAGAACAATTATCTTCAATGATGGGATCGGAACAAACGATAATTGGTTGAGGATAATTAATATACCTAATGTCCAAGAAGAGTGTAATCATTCTGTGGATAACTGAGTATTTGTGAAAAAGAACCAGAAAAACAAGGACGCGAAACAAAACTTGCGTAAGAATTTAACACTACTTAAACCACATTGAAATTATGAACTCCTTCTGAAGAATCATCTGCACACAGATGGAGCCAAGGTGGAAGTGACCACAGTATGCACTACCATCATGGATGATGTCATTTGTTGAGTTTTCCAAAGGGAAATATTTCCAGTAATATTGGACAAAGAAAGGTGTTCGGATGGCTTTTGTTAATTTGTGCTAGTTTATAAGCTTGAACTATCAAGACACAGTTGAGGCATTTTGAAATAAAGAGAGTAAAGTCCATTTGCTGATGAACCTTGGATTACGTAAGAATTCTATTGTGAAGCTCATCGGCAAAGTGGACTTTGCTCCCTTTGCTTCAAGATGCCTTTACTCTGTGACTAGTTTGACTGACCCATTGTGAGACTTTGGTGCAAGGGATAACTACCTACAGAAAAACTCAAACCTCAGATGAATTGGATGTATTAAGATAGATTCAGTTGAACTACTTTTCTTGCTGTCATAAAAATGTTGAAAAAATTTCCAGTGACTCACTTGCCATGATCTTTTTAAGTGAGACGTCATCATCAGTCAGCAGCGAACCCTGTGATATTTGGCCCCGCAGTGTTCGCTGCCAACTGATGATGGAGCTTTCAGCTCCGAAACACATCTCACGTAAAAAGATCACCGCAAGTGAGTGACCGGAAATTTGTTCAAAATTTTTATCACAATTGACTCGTGGCATTTCCCCCTCAAAGTTTCTACATTTCACACTGCTTCATTTTCCTCTCAATTTTTTCTTTAGCGGACAACCGAGCAACATAGTGCCTTGAAACTTTCTGTGCATTCCCCTGGATTGTGATGAATACAATCACAAATTTTCAAGTCAGATTGTTGATAAGGTTTCGTTGAAAAATAGATTGAAGAGCTTGCAGGACAAGGGACATAAGTGCAGTTTTTGCTATTATGAGAAAAACATGTTTAAAGTGTCTAAATTAAATGAAGCCTTACGGTAGAAAGACAGTTCAAACTCACATTTTGATGCTTTAAAATTTGATTTTACTGATGGACACAGAATTAATTTCAAACCTAGAATTGCTTGAAATCACTACTTACTTAATATCTCAATTTCTTCAAAAGCTACACTTAAGCGCCTTGTCCTCAAAGCCCCTCAATTGTGAGAAGAAATTAGACAATATCAGGTGTAATTCAGCTAATTCTGATTAAACTTGTCCAATGAACCTATAGTTAAGGTGCAAATTTCACGTGAACATATTTGTTCTCATTAAAATTTCACGCAGGACATGATTTGTGCAACGTAGGTATGTGATCTGTGTTAAAATAAATCCTTAATTCCACAGAATTTTCATACTGGTAAAATCTAATGGTAAATCATAAATTAGAGAAGGTAAGTACTCGAGCCTTTAAAATCGTCTGTTTCAAAGAAAATTCCAGATCAGCTTACCTATTGCTGGTCAGTCTAACTGGTGGTGCTGGGGGTTTGTCCTCTTCGTCAGACATGCTTGCAACTCGGAATTGCGCCTACTATTCCAGATGAATCTGAAAAAACCCCAAAAATCGATCAGAGCAATAAATATTGTCCTAGAAAAAAATTATTGAACAAATGAGAGACAACTACCAAAGCGAGCATGTTGGTAGTGGGTCAGAAAAAACAAACCTCCATTGTTAAAGCAACAATATTCGAGCATCTACCAAAATGCAAAGGGGCAGCATCAATGCTGTAAAAAGGAGGAGCAGGAAACTGTCACTTGATTAATCTTTCATCCACTGAGAGATAGTGATAAGGGAATGAATTGTGATGAACAGCTAACTTGGGATGAATCATCTTTGGAAATGAAGTATGTACTGAGCTATGCTGGGGATAAAGCACAGTTAGTAAAGGATGTTACTATCCTGGACAAAACTATACTTAGTGACATTAAGTGGTATGGATTTTGAATAACGGAAAGGAATTTAAAGAACAATTCTGAAATATATAAAGTTACGGAGCGAAATACCTCCCCAGATGTGTACACAATCAAATCTCTTGACTGATAACATAAGTGCAAAACTGAAATGAGACAATATGATAGGACAGTTGAAAAAGAAACCCTGTTAAGAAAAACCGGTCATTCAAAACTTTCACTTGTCGTGTATAAATTGAGATAAATTCTGTAACAAGGGTTTCTCCTGGTTATCAGTGAATTTGCTAGAACGTCGATCGCTCTGATTAGGAGATGACGAGACACTCACCTCTGCGAAATGGAGATTTTAAAAACAAGACGAACACAAATTCATCACAAAATTTCTATGAAACTTCAGCGCGGCTGAGAAGGATACTTTTAAGATCCCATCCTAAAAAATTTACAGATAAGGCAAAAAACACCACCGCCATTAGAAGATTTGGTTCAACAAATCGCCATTTTGCGATTTACAGACATCGATGATCTTTCGAAAACAAAACAGTAGCGTGCTGCGCTCTATCGCGTATGAGCAAAACTATATATGATTCTCCTCCTCACGGCGGGTAAATTCAAATTTGCGGGGATGCATTTCTCGTCCGAAGGTCATATTGGGAGTTGTTTTCTCCGCAACATTTTTAGCAATTTGTTCCGTTCATGAATATTTCTTTGATCGCCTCTAAATATCAAAGTGACCATAGATGTGGTGCAAGACGATATTGGTGACTGACATTTTCCTTTATCATAGAGTTTGTGAGAGAAAGAGGTATAGTTTTCTGAAAAACCAATAGGATCTTTTTAAAAGGCATTTAAATCCCTAAAAAGCGCGTCCTCGCGCGCTTGACTAGCCCTACTAAGGCCTTGTCTCCACGGGACGTTTTCATGGGATTTTTCCCAAGTTCGAATCCCAGGAATGAAACTTCTGGGATTTTTCCCAGTTACCGTCTCCACGGGACGGGGCTCTTTGCAGTCCTGCGACTAATTTGCGCGGGAAGATAAATTAGTTAAAGTCGAGTATTTGACCGGGATTAAAATAATAATTGCACTCAATTGACAATTAGACACATTTTTTAACTAAACAAACATGAACAATGTAGTAATGAATAAAATATCGCACAATTCGTTTACACTTCTTCTTCTTCTCTCAGTGGGTCCTAGGGGTACAAGTACCATACTTGGTACTGGGAAAAATATTGATTAACTCAATATTTTTCCCAACTTCGTAAGTGAGATTTTTCCCTGGGACAAATCTCGCGAAACGGCTCGTGGAGACAAAGCCTAGCTGGTGGAAAAAACTCTCATCGAGGATATTTTTCTCTTTTAACGTAGAGTTCTACACGAAAACTCCGTGCTCATTCAGTTTGTATTCTTTTGAGTCATCATAGAAGCCTCAAAATGTGGCCAAATGGAGTTAAATTTCAAAAAATTGCTGGGACTTTACTCTCCGACCTCCGACAATTTGGAGGTATTTTGGTTTTCCAGGGAGGACCCTTGGCTTGGACCTTCTGAACTAAACGGGTTCAAACCCCCTCCCCCTCCATAAGGTGCATAAGTGCAGTTTTTGCTCTTTCGAGAAATACGTATTTCAAGTTTAGAAATTACATGGATCCTTATGGCGGAGAGAAAGTTCAAGCTGACTTTTTAATGCTTAAAAATTGGAATCTGAGAGCAAAATATTCATCACTTAACATGCATTGAGACTAGTTTTACTAAAAAACATTAATATCTCGCAGTTTTTTTCAAAAACTGCACTTATGCGGCTTGTCCTCCAAGCCCCTTAATTGCTTAAGTTGAAAAATGGATATACCTTTGATTTCGACTTTGGAGCCATCCCTAAATTACGTAACGCTCCAAGCGAGGTGGGGGTCTTTGCGCGCGTTACGCGGCTTTAGAGGGGGGGAGGGAGTATGGAGCGAGGCGTTACCTAACGAGTTTGATTAATTTTTGTTCCGAGTTTCTGTTGAATTTTTTGTCGGTCGCCTCTAGAAGTTTTCAAGAGTCTCGAAAATAAAAAAAAATGTATTAACAAAGGGAAAAGGTCGTTGCGATAAAGAGAAAGATTTTTAGCCTCCCCCTCCCTGATTAGATTATTTTTTATCGTAATGAGGGTGGCGGGTGTCCGAGCAAGCGTTACGTAATTTTTTAGTGCGGTGTAGCTCAGCGTCACGGAGCGTTAAAAGTGATGGGGGTGTCAAAAACCGCAAATTTAGCGTTACCTTTAATTTAGAGACGGCCCCTTTGCTTGCACGTCTCCATTCTTTCCTTCTGTTTTTTTTTTTTTTTTTTTTTTTTTTTTTTTTAACAAATATTTTTTCTTGAGATTTTTTTTTGGAATGTATTCACGTATTCATAAATATTTGCAGACAATAAATGTCCAAGAGGTATTATGGTTTTTTTTTATTTCATGTTTTGCCCTGTGGCTGTGGCTGTGTTGTGGCTGTGGCTTTGGCTTTAGTGCATCAACGCACAGTGGAGCGAGTCAATAGGAGAGGTCGGATCAAAATTGGAAACTTTAAACGCTTATGACCTTTAAACCAAATTTTGAAGTGCTAAAAGTGGCATGATTGGTTTTCTCGTGAAATTTTCTTCTAGAAGCATCCCTTAAAATGTATCATGTGACGAAATGAACATCAAAATTTGCGGTTTTAGTCAAAAATTTCATGTCCGACTTCTCTGATTGACTGGGTCCACTGTGCGACGCTGCAACCAAGCTGCGAATTTCTTTACGATTGATAGACATCGATGAAAAGTTCGAGTACAATTAAAACATTAATTCAAAATTTTTCTCGCGTTTCTTTAGTTCCTGCAGAGATTCATAATTCAAATTTTGTAGTGTTTATATAATGTATTTTCCTTTCCCCGTGCTTTGTGCATAATCTAATAAATAAATTAACAATAATGGGAAAAGGTTGTGATACC